GGTCGGAGCGACACGATGGTTTAGATTGACTCGCGTTTTTTTAAAGAAGTGGTTCAACGCTTTTAGGTTGTCCGATAACCGGACTGAATCTAAAGGCGAGGTTTCCGAAAAGGTTCGAGGAGTCGCCACCAGTGTTTTAACCTTAAACACTGAAAAAGGTAAAAAAAAGAAGGCATTGGTTTTAGAAAAAAAAAAAACCAATTTTGGCCATTACAACTAGATCCGGGTAAGTGAGTTAGTTACGTCTGGGGAAGGTGTTAGCACCCCACAACGCCCCTTTCGGCTTCCCTATGATGAACTAGTTTCACAAATAAATACTTAAAAAAATTATGCTTTTACCTTATTATTTAAACTACTGGCAAAATTTAAATATCTACATTATCCTAATATCTAATACATACAAGGAAAACAATAAAAGAAAGCAGTAAAAGAAAGCAGTAAAAGATAAGAGATATGAAGGAGAACCTCCGAAGCGAGCTTTTATAAATCTCAAACTTGATGATGCTTTTTGGCAGTCCCCGCACTCTACAAAGTCACTCCTCCCTCGAACAAAAAATAAGAGTACCACCCTACTGAGGGTCAGACGTCTCAAAAGGAAACTTCCTTAACCAATTTCTACCTTAAACAGAAATCGGAAAGCTCACTCAAACTCTGGAATAATGTTTAGAGTCACTCTAAAGTGTCAAAAGGCTTCCTAGAGAGTGTAGGAGTGGAGAGGTGTGAAATTTCGAGGAATAGAGCTCCTATTTATAGGGAACCGCACCAGGAAAAGTGGACGGTCGTCTAGACTTAGTGGACGGTCGTCCATGGCAAAAAGTGGTCATGGACGACCGTCCAAGCTAAGTGGACGGTCGTCCATAGCCTTAAAGTTGGCATGGACGACCGTTTGACTGTCCTGGACAACCATCTGCTGTCTCCGGTGGATTTTCCAATTTTTATTGCCTCTAAAAACCTTTCTTATCTTAAATGGAACCTAGAAAAAATTACTAGGGACTTAACAAAGTCTTGACCATCTTCGAAACGGGTTATCTCTAGCTTTATTGGGAGCGGGGCAAGATTTGGCGTCTACAATGAAAAATGGGTATTGAATGAACATAACAAAAGTTTCCTTTCTTGGTTTAAAAAAAAGGGTATATGTTGAGATTAATGTTTCATATACACTTTTGAGACTTGCTCATGGGCCTAATAGTGATGTCATTACATTTGGTGGGTATGACATTAACAACTATTGTTTCTACTAAAAAATGGAAGATGATAAAAGTAGAGTACAAAATAGTGGGGTCACAATTCAAGCTGAATCTATGCACTTTTCTAGTTCTAAATACAAAAATCCCATTACAGCATCTATGAGTTATTGAGGTCATACAAGAGATATGGGAAATTGATTATGTTACTTTAGGGTGCCTGTGTTCAAGTGTAAATGGGTTGAAGGGAATACAGGTGTGCGAACAGATGACCTAGGATTTACTTTGGTTTATTTGAATAAAGTCGGATATAAGGATAAACCTTTTATTATGGCATATCAAGTGAGACAAATATTTTATGTCAAGGATCCATGTAATGAGAGATGGTCAATTGTCCTTGAAGGAAGAAGCATGCATGAAATTCATGAAGAGGAGTCTTTATATATACATGAAGCACCTTCATTTTCTTGACTTGGTTTCCAACAATATATGCAAACATGGATGAGTGACTCAAAAAGACATATATTTTGCTCCATACATTTAGGGGTTAGTATTTTAATTTGTATTTTTGTCATCATGTTAATTTATATTTTTATAACTAATTTTTATGTCATATAATGTAGGTTCCATTGGCAGTTAATTGTAATCATGACCTGAGATTACACTGTGGTGTGGTTTTGTTCATTGTACCAGAAACCGAGTCAAGAAATGAAAAACTTGTTACAAGGGTAACTGTTAGGAACAAGACAAGAATTTTAACGTGGTTCGGCTAAAATATGTATGCCTACGTCCACGACTACACTAGGAAGTATTTTTATTTCTGTGTATATCTCAAACTTTACATAGGGTTGCTTATATAACAAAAATAGAGAACCTCATCTCACAATCCTAATCGATGTGGGACTAAATCAAGCACCATAATACTAACAAGTAACTTTATCTTTTATTCATTAATTATGTTTTTAAAGTGTAAATACATATTGGATAATATATGATTTTTTTTCAATTAGAATCGTGTCTGGAACTAATGTTCTAAGTGGAAGACCCGGAATAAAGAGTTTGCAGTTCATTTATCCTAGGGTTAGAAACTTATTTATGTGAACACCATAATCGGTAGCGGATCTTGGTCATTGATTTTAGGGGGTCAAATAATATATTATTAATAAATAATAAATAAATATAAAAGGGTGAAAGATAAAATTATAAATGTATAAATAAATATATAAAATGATATTTAAGTTTGAGGGACAAAATCATAAATTATATGAGAGTTAAGAGTGATGAGAGGATAAATTGTAAATACATAAGTGAAATATATTAAATGATCATTAAGTTTAGGGGTCAAAATCATAAATGACATGGGAGTTACAAAATTTTGGGGGGCCACAACCCTCTTCAGCTCCCAAGAAGATCCACCACTGACTATAATTATTGTTTGTATTTAAATTTTGAAAATAACATTATGTTTTATTCATCATTTGAGTATAATAAGTAAATAGACTCATTTGAATGTGGTTACTATGTCATGTATTGGATGAGAGTCATAATTTGTGTGGGTATAACTGATTCTTGGACGTAGGTAATTGCTTTCAATATTAGTTAAGTTTATTTAACTTTATGTGTGTTGTATATTTACAAGAGTTAAATTAATGTTTCAAGTATTTCAAGATCCATCTCTACTACCAGAACATGATATCACACAAATTAAAGAATAATGAACAAGATTTTTCGTTCAACAATTCTACTACTTAGTTTATAGGTTATTGTTGATATTATATTGTGTGTATTATGTAGTTTAGGTAGCTTAGTTTGTACTAGCTTTTAGTTTGTAGGTTATTATTTGTATTATATTGTTTCATTATGTAGTTTAGGTAACCTAATTTTTGTACTAGCATGGTGTTGTAATTTAACTTTTGTAGTTTGAATTATATATAATATTGTATTTTTTATTTCCTAGTTAGGAAACTCAAACATCTCAACTGTCTGACTATAATATATGTTTGCAGATATTGGTTGTAAGACAAAATAAACCCAATAACAAAAAAAAAAGGATGAAACTTGCATCGCACATGCACATGTCCAACATAAATTTCGTCCAATTTTTTAAATTTTTGAAATTTTTTACGTCTGTTTAATGATATATGCATTGTAGATTAACGTCGAGTCTCGATAGCTGACGTGAATTTATATCAGTGCTGCCGTAAATAAATAATCCAAAATATGTAACGTAAAATATCCATTTTTTACTAATGTCAGAAAGATATTCATAATCTATTTTGTGGTTATAACTTAGTTTGATCTTCCATTACTTACTTACGTGAAGTTATAATATCATTCGTTTAATATAGAGAAATTTGATTAAATAATCAATTTTTACTTATAACAAATTCAAGAAAAATTTGATTAAATAATCAAATAATAAATTCAAATAAAGATGCAGTGATATAATCTAGATTACATGATATTAAAATGAAAATTTTTAGAATATACAAAATATTAAAATGAAATTTTTGACACATAATTAAGTATTCTCATAAAATATCTACGTTAAAATGATAAGATTGTACACATATACTAACTACAAGATAATTATATATATTAACTACAAGATAATGATAACATATATTTTCTAACTATCATTAATCAACGTTACGTGATTTTGAATTTATCTTATTTCTGTTACTAGGATAATTTATCTTAACTTTTCGAAGATAAAGACAATAACGATCTTGATGACAATCTTTTTCCATCAAACTCTTAATATTATATATTATAATTATTTTCCACCGATACAAAATATGTCTAAAATCAGAGATAATAATTTTTGTGTAAATGTACAAGAATTTAGGACAACGTTTTTATAAAACAAACAAAAATGTAAAAAAAAAAGGAAGAAAAAAATGTGATGAAGTAAATAATATGATGAACAAAAAATTAGTAAATAATTATATAAAAATTATAGTATGAATGAGATTTGCATTCATCTAGATTCCCTTTGAAAGTAAAACATTTTTAGACGATCCTACAAAGTGGAAAAAAAGAAGGAAGATGACAGAAATTAGTTTGGATCAAAAAATTCACAAAAGCTTTTTAATGCATCATTAACACAAACTAAAAACAATTGCCCCCATAATTTTTTATGTCAGACACCAACAACAACAACTCTACAAAACCCCAAGCATGGGTATTCATAAACAAGTATTAATTTTATCTTAAAATTCTGGGTACAATATTAGCATGTTCAATTTCCGCTGAGACTCTTTTTGATTCATAGGAACTGATCATAAGATATTAATAATTCCCTTCTACCTCCGAAGCTAAGTAAGAACGGGTCATCCATAAAAGTTACACAGCAAATCACATTCCTGACAACCCCTCGAATTCTAAGTGAGTAAAATATTATTTTGCCCCCTGAAAATTTTGAGACCAGCCACATTAGTCCTAGAAGATCAAAATCACATCCAAAAAAATGATAACAACACACTTTTTTGTCACACTATCTACTGACAGTTAAAATTCCTTGAAAACTACAAAATTATGAGCAAGACTCTGTTAGAGACCAACAGGGTTTTGTAGTTTTTTTATGGATTTTTAAATAACCATAAATGGTGTGTCCAAAAGTGTTTATTGAAAAGTGTGTTGATAACATGTTAATGTTTGAAAAATGGAAGTCAATCACTAAGACAGCCCTTTTAATCATCAAGTAGGATTGATCGACATTTTTAAATTTTGGGGATGAAAATAGTAATTTTCTTAGTTGAGACTAACGTGACTAACTCCAAATTTTGCAGAAACAAAACTGTTTTTCACTCTATTTTAATCAGCAGAAGCAAAATTCTTGGGAAAATCTCCACCAGAAGAAGATTTTCTGTTAGGTACCATCTGAAACAGCAATTTGAAATGGTCATAACTCAGTTCCAACCACGCACATGAAAGTCTGAGATCCCAGGCAAAAGAAAGAGTTATAATATAAAATAATATATTACCTGATCATATTCTTTTGCATCAGTTAACAAAGATCTTTGTCGTTTCACTTTGCTTTTTTTATTCTGCTTTTTGCCTTTCACTTCATCATCAACAAAGTTCTGGTCTGACATCTCTGCAAGGAACAGATAGACAAATTAAAATGCTTTAATAAATGGAAGAACTCAGTGGAATTCATAAATCATAATAGAGACTAGGAACACAAAAATGCAGTAAGCTAAACTATGGAGTGTCAAGGTAGAGATATGCACACACGAACTACTACTCTTCAGACTGAACACCAGAACTATCGAATATTTATGTATCTGTTTTGATTCAGGTTGAATAATCTAAAATCAACCTAAAATATCAACTCGGGTAATTTCAGTAATATGTAGGTTAATAACGAGAAAAGACTCAGATAAATTTTGTATCAGTAAAATTTTATAAATTTATTCTTAGTTTTTTCTTTAAATTTTTTCATTTGTTACTCTTCTATAATTTTGAGATATATCATAGTTAATTTTTCAAATGATTAGTAGTTTAGATAATGCTTACCAAAAATAGTGCATTTTTATATTAGAGGACAATTAAAAAAAAAAAAAATGAACTTCGACAATTTCAAATTTCAAAGGTGGATTCTAGATTACTCTTTCTAGGTGTCGAGCGTCACCAATTAACATTCGTTAGTCATATTTGGTCTTAATAAAAATTAGAACATATTCTAGAGAGCCAAATTCTGAAGATGATATTCAAAGCAGAGGAGGTAAAGAGGACTTTGGGTCACCTGTGTCACTAGAGAGCATATCCTTATGGCACACACGAGATTCACACAAATGAAGATGTCCTGATCCAGAGGGAATTCCCTTCCTTTGGCCTAAATCGACAACTTTGCTCGAGTTACTGACACTTTCTTGAAGGGATGGACTCTGTTTGCTTGAGGATCGATAGTGCTGAATCCATGGATTTTCTGTCAAATCATGACGCTGGTTTATCCTACTGGCTTGCGGATTCACTCTCTCAAAATTGATTTTTTGCCAACACCCACCACGAAGTACCTTGAACTGTTATTATTTAAAAAAATAAAATATAGTTTTGTTAAGGGTAAGAGAAGAAAGAAGATAGAAAAAAGCAATAAATCCACATTAATTCAAGAAATTGAGTGTTCAATTACAAATTGATATACATGGTAAGTTAATAGATGTTTGAAAGATTACATCTATCAATTATTTATTTATTGTCATTTATTTAATCACATATATAAATGAAGATTTGTTTGATATTATGGTAACAACCTTACAAACTATGTCTATGTTCGTTACTGATTGACAGTGTACAAATTTTTGCATTTACAGAGAGTTAAAGTGATGGGATTCATGATAGCAACCAAGTTAGAAAGGGAACCTGGCCAGAATTGGTAGCAGGGTCATGGGAAGCTCCTTTGCAAGAAAAGGAAGCTTTCATTTGCTTAGCATCATATAATTGATTAACAAAAGATGCTTCTATAGACTTGATATACATGCTGTGTTTCTCATCTGTCCACTCTGGAGCCATTGTGGATTCTGTCTCTCTAATGCCCTGACATATACATAGGAAACCCCAAAATCTTGTCAATAAAATACATAGTATATGATTAATATGCCAATAAAAATAAATTATTAGAGAAAAAAAAAACTCACTATTCATAAAGTAAATATAATATGAAACCACACTCTTGTTTAATCAGACATAACAAACTTTTATTACTATATAAGAAGTATAGTTTTAGGAATTTGATTACAACCCATTGTTAATATACAAAAGTTAGGTATTGATATTTATGAACCAGTTAAAATTTCATGCATTTAAATCATTAATGAACGCATAACTAAAAATATTTTCTCTTAAAAAAAAAAAACAATACACCACAGCACAATTTTTATCATATATTTATTTGAATATATACAAGCACGAAGTTACAAATAAAAAATGTAATAATTAAAAATAATATTCTCAAAATTATATTAATACATTATCATTATCATGTTCTGCATTTCAAATCGCAATTCTGTTTTTCTTATAACCACAACTATTTTCAAAACTTTCTATGTTAAAAGTAAACAAGTTGTCATGTAATATTTTTATTTCCCAGTTCAAAAACATTTTAAAAAAACAAAGGGAAGAAACCCAGAAAAAAAATGAATTATAAAAATCCCCAACACAACTCAACTCAATGTATTGATAAAATTGTTAGTAAAAACAAACCAGCAGCAAATCAAGACTTAAAACATTGACAAAATCTCCATCATTCAAATGTCGGAAAAAATTACAAACAGTTATTGTGACATAAACAGAATATTCTTCACAGCAGATGAAACAATGAAAGCATGAGCAGATTTTCTTTATTTCAAAGAAACAATAGCATACTTTACCTGTAACCCTAAAGAGAAAATTGCAAGAGGTTGTCAGAGAATGAAAAAGTTATGTAAATTACACAAATTGAAGTTAGAATTAGCGAATTAGTTCATGAATGAATGGAATCGAAAGCGAAAGTTAGGGAAAAGAGAGGTACCTGAATCGGATGGTTGTGGGAGTCATGGAAGGTGGGTGAAGTGGTTTGAGTTGGTTCTTCTGTTCTGGCGACTCTGAAATTGTTCTTCATGATTTGTATGTGATTTTGTGCAATGAGAATGGTGAAGGAATGAATAAGAGGAGAGAAAGGGGCGGTGATGGGGAAGAAAAAGGGAATACAGTTGTCTGCGCTTTTACACGTGTCATGGGGCCAGCCCATGGCCACGTCACCGTCAGGCTACATTAGCATGGGAGATAAGAGGCTGCTGCTGTAGATATTTTCATCTGCGCATCAAAAATATCTGTTATCCTCCTTCCTCACATTGATTATCTTATAACAATTTACATTAATTTTTTAAAAAATTTAATATATCACTGACATCAACAACAGTGTTATTGTTGGATTAAAAATCTGCCATCTCCTTTCCCTTCCTATTCTATTCTATTCCCTCCACCATCTAGATATTTTATGCCTGTACTTTCGCTCTTGGAAACTTGCTTTTTAAGAAATCCAGTCAAATTGCATCATAATATCTTATATCATCCAATTACTATTCTTCCTTTTAAAATAACAAGTTCAAGGTTTTGTTTATATTTCTTTACAAGTTAATTACAATATCATAAAGTGGGAATAGAATATTTATTTTATTGACTTTTAAATGTTCGTGTTTAAAATAATCTATGACTAGTTGGGGACTGCAAATTAAACTTAATTAAGTTAAATATAAGAATGGTGAGATTTTATTTAATTTGCTTATATTAAATTTTTAATTTAAAAAAAACTACTTCATTTAAAAAGTTGATTAGATTAAGTGATATTTTAAAAGTTTACACCAATCAAAGTTTCGACCTTCCAAGAAGAGTTTAACTTCAATAAAATCGGATGCTATATGATCTAAAGGTTAAAAACAAATTAATTTTTTTAAAAGTGTTTATGTTTATCGAGCTTTTTTTGACGCATTTTGTTATGAAGCGTGACTTAATATTTGATTCGATATTATAGAATGGAAGAGAGGAGTGAGATTGGATGACTTATAATTTCATCTTAAACCAAATCATTTGAATATTTAGGAAGGATTATATTAGAAAAAAATAAATGTAGCTGTAATTAAAGAAATCTAATGAACCAAAAAGGTATCAGCGGGCGGTGTAGAAAACAACGGCGGATTCAAAATCTTATGAAATCCAAAAATAAATAAATGAACAAAAATATCAACAAAATTCATGAAAAAATATAAAAGGGGTCCATAGATGAAAGAACACGTGATGGTATAAAGCATCTCGGTGTCCATTTTATCCAATGCTCTTTTGTTTTCATATAACCTTTGATTGGGTTTCTTTAAAGATATACATGATTATGTTTTTTTATAAATGTCTTTTTCTAAGAATGATATGCATTATTTTGTTTGAGATAAAATGTCACTTTTTTGATAAATTAAAAAAATTCATCATAAACACAAAGCATACCTAATATTATATATATATATATATATATATATATATATATATTATTTTAATACACTTACAATAACACATACATGCTCTAGCATAAAATCACCTATTAAACAATTTTTTTATAATTGTAACCTAATAAATAAATAAATAAAAGCACTTGTTATCATTATTTGCAAAGAAAATTAATACAGTAACAATTTCTTTTAATTTAACATGATATAAAAGTATTAATAAGAATGAAAATCAACAGTTTAATTTAAGATAATGTATAACATTATACATACATAATTAATTTATCTCTCTCTCCCTCTCTCACCCTCTCTCTCTCTCTCTCTCTATCTATATATATATACATACGTTATAAAGAAAACAAAATTCTTTTTTTATCAGATAGAGAAAAAAATATCATTTATAATATTTATAAAAAAATATGTCATAAAAAAATATTATTATAAAATTTATATATTTAAAAAATTAGTAAAAAAATATGAAAAAAAGTGATACAAAATAGTAAAAATAAAATGAATATTAGGAACATCTAAATAAGAGAAAAAATAAAATAAAATATTAAAAATATTTTAAATAAATTCATAATATAAAAATAACACAGATCTATATTTTTACTAATAGTATATAAGAATGAATATAATGTAAAATTAGCCTTCTTAAAACACATTTTCAAGAAATTAATACAACATAACAAATATTAGCCAATCTTAATGTTCTACCATCTTAATGTTTAAAATCATTTTTATTCATAAATTCTTAAATACATGTAACAATTTACAAAAGAATCATTTTACTAACTTTGAAATACTCTAGTATTACTAGTTATTATTTAATAACATTTTGGTTCATCTGAAACTGTTTACATATAAATTTAATCCCTCAATTTTTTGTCAATTACTGAATTAAGTTTAACAATTTTCTTTTATCCAGACCTTTAGACTTTGCGGGCAGATTTAGGACAAAGAAATATTTAAATAGTTTCCAATTTATACATTTAATAAGAAGAATATAATTTTAAAAAATTGTGAGGGTGAAAATCAAACGATTTGATCAATAATTTTGATTCGAAGTGATTAAAACAATAATCACATCATATGGTTATGCCACACACGTCTTTAACACTCGTAGAATTGGGTTAGTGTAAATGAGAAACTGATACAAGAATCGAAAAACAGAAGAGAAAATCGAAGATCATATGATTAGTTAAAAAATTGGTAAATCGGAAGGATGGTTGGAAGATACTCGGTGACCACGAGATAGTATGAACGCATAAATCGAGAATGAGAATCAAGAATCAGAAAAGAGAGGAAAACCGATGAAAGTAATGGTAAAGTATAATGTAAAGTCAAGGTTAAGGGAAATCGTATTTGATAACTGGAATCGAGATCGAGGGAAACGGTTATCATGCATATGAAACATGAGGAGTGACTTTTTTCATCGTGGTTAAGGTTAGAAATCGAGGAGCGGTTAAATTGCACATAGAACGTGGAAGCGGTTTTCTAAACCGTAAGCAAAGGTAAAAAATCGAAGAACGTGCACATGGAACGTGGTGACAGTTTTTGAACTGCTCTTGGGAGGTTACATTGAAGGATGCCTATAAATAGAACGAAGCTTGAAAAAGAAGGGGGAAATTGGCAGAGATAACAGAAGCATAAGTGAAAAGTCTACCGGAGAACGACGAATCATGAAGTTTCTGACGATCTGGATTTTCATTCTTATTGACTGTTTTTACCGTTTTCTTTACTTTTCCTGGTAATTTACTTTCATGTAATTTACTTTCATGCAATTTACGTTTATCAACTTTAAGTTTCTGTCCTTTCAATTCCTTGTTATTTACCTTAATGCAAGTTAAAATTCTGTGTTTAAGTTCCTTGCCATTTACATTTTTGCAATTTTGATTTCCTGTTATTTTACATTTGTGCAATTTCAATTCCTTGCCATTTACATTTAAAACAATTTGAGGTTTCTGCGTTTTTATATTTTTCTGCAATTTGATACTCTGTACTATTTCCTCGATCCGGTTTTTTCTTCTTTATTGTTGTCTTTACTTTGAGTTTCTTAATACAAAATATCACAAATAGTACTTTCGATTTTCAATCAGCACACTAGGTTGCATTGTTAGCATTCCTCGATACTATGGGATTTTCGATTATCATACACGTTTCGATTGAAAAGTGTCGCTAGCCTAAGTGGAAAGAATCTACGTGGTCGAAATTTGATCAGAACCTTTAAATCGAAATCGATCAAATTTTTGCCAGAAACAAATTGGTGCGCCAGGTAGGGGAGAAAGTTGTGTCGAAAAACACAACTAAATTGGCTAGTTCGAAAGTGTATGAGATTAAGGAGTGGGCGAGTAATAAGAATGAGTCAAAATCCATCAAATAATCAGAATAACAGTGAGATCATAGACGGTTCACATCCACCAAACATTGGGGGGCAAGTTCACAATGGGAATATGCCTGTAATATCGACAACTGTGAGTACGTCGATGCCTGTAAGTACTGAACAAAGCCCAGGAACATTAGCAAACATTCAGTTAAGATCTAGTACTGTAATGTCAAACAATATACAAACTACGGGAAACCCTATAACAACATACGCAGGTTCACATATGAGTGTAAGGTCACCTGGTTTTTCGTTTAATAATATGAATGGGGCTGACACTTCTTTAATATAACGAAGTACGAGATTTAACCTAGGAATGCCCTAAAACTTAGGAACATTTCAAACCTTAGGTATGCCTCAAAATTTTGGAGTACCCCCAAATTTAGGGGTGTCTCAAAATTTGGTAACACCTCAGAATTCAGGAAGTGCGCAGAATTTAGGAACACAACAGACGCCTCCAAACCTAGATCACAGAGCAAACATGGATCACGGGAGATATACATTCGATAGAGATTATCATCGATCCAATTTTGAGACTATTGAAAACGCTAGTACTGGAATTTCCAGTAATTCATTAGGAGTACTTCGACAACAAATGGATGAAAGCAATTTCGAGATGGTTAATATGTTATCACAATAATTGACTACAGTACTAAACTCATTAGTTCAAAACACTACCACTAGTTTTGAGATATTAGCAGACCAAATGGCACGTGTCGGGGATGCATTGGCAATACCCCGACAAACGAGGGTCGAAAATAATGCCAATCAGAATATTAACCAAAACGCTAATATCAATCCCCTTTATTTATTAAGGAGAAATCGAAATAATGATCATCATCAGCATGGAGGAAATGAATATCAGCATGTGAGGAATGATACTTACGGAAATTTGAATGAGGGATTTCAAAATATGTATAATCAAAATAACATGCAGTACAATCACATGCTGGGACAAAGGATGAATCCCCAAGGAGTCGAATTAAGATCACCTAGTCAACCGTACTTTGTTTCTCCTTTTCTAAACACGATTCTCGAGACAGAGTTACTTCGAGGATACAAAATACCCAAATTCACCAAATTTGCTGGAGAAATTGGTGAATCCACTATCGAACATGTGGCGCGATATCAAATCGAATGTGGGGACCTAGCGATGAGTGAAGAATTAAAAATGAAATACTTTCTTAGTTCGTTAACAAAGAATGCTTTCACGTGGTTTACTTCGTTGCCACCTAATTCAATATATAATTGGTTGTAGCTGGAAAGAAATTTTCATGAGCAATTCTTCAAGGGGGAGACACAAGTAAGTCTTATTGACTTAATGAATATAAAGAGATATAATCATGAAAGCATAGATGATTATTTGAATAG